CTAAATCTAACCTCGGCGCAGCGTCAAGCCATCCTGGATTTTCTGAGTCTCTCTTCGGAGAACCGAAAAGTGGTCCTTGACACGATTGTCAAGAATGCTGCCATAGCTAAGGGCATGCAGTGAAAAACAGAATAGAAACGGGAGTTTTTATTGCCCTAACGGCTGTGATTAGCGCAACATTGAATACAACTCGCTCCATTCCTGTTAAATACATCAGCTAAATGTCGCATTATGATGCTGTACTCCTCGCCAACCAGTCAACTTACTTCTACTAGTATTGAGTTGTTTGTAGTATTTTTCAGTCCATGTACTAGACTGAGTTTGACGGGTGGTGATGCACTATTCGTTACGCATGTAGCTCGCCAGCACTGGAATGGCGACGAAGTTTGGCATTGCAAAGTGTAGTTTTGCGCAAATTTACTTTGATTTTGGAAGGATTTTGTTTATTTTTCCCAGATTGTTCCTTCGCAGACTCAATTGTAATTCGCGTCGAGGGCTTGTCTAGGTTCGAAAGCATCAGAAAAGGAACTTTCAAGCCCCATACCATGCGATGTTAGTTGCGTCCACGACGAGAAAAAAAAACTATGGAGCTCGAGATGCCCAAATAATTGATCCTCTGTGGTATTATTGAATACATGTTCTTACTCTTCGCATGCGATGGAAGGGATGATATCACATGGCTAAAAGTTTTGGTTTGTGGATCATTCGTGGAATTCAATTAAACTTTTTTGGATGGATCAGCTGTCGTGATGGAGGCTATGCAAATGCCCATGTATGGTCGGTACAGCTGGCGTCATTGTGTTCATTACGGGTCACCACAACGTATTTAATTAGGTTGTAATTGGGAGCAAGGTCGAGAGTAAAATGTTTACACTATTATATTACGTTTGATATGAAGGATGCGTTACGTCGATGTATGCAACGAAATCGAGTAGGATTAAATCAAAGGCATTACCGTTCGAATAACATGTCAATGGAGCTGAAGCAGGTGTAATATTTTGGATGAGATCGATCTTGAAGAGAACGACGAGGCCGTGCTCCAAGAATTTATAAGATTCACACGTAGGTGTGCAAAAACCAAATCAGTGGAATATGAGGTGTTATACCAACTGACCACGTGTTATGGTGGCATTTTGGTTTCGTTTAGGCCCTATTGGTGATATTGTACCAATCGCAGCATGGAGCAAGTTTCGATTCAGTTTTATGACTGCGTTGGAAGCTATCAGCAAGCTCCACATACACAGAAGAACAACAACAGCCAGAAGCAGCAAATATCTGAACCGTAGAAACCGATCAAAATTTGTGATTTGTTCACCGGTGACTGAGATGTGGCACCTTGTACCAATAGCATGACAAGCTGTACTAATTTTAACAAGCCACTTTTAATTGTTTTACTAATCACTTTTAAAATAATGTTTCAAATAGTTACTTTTAGTGATTTCAAGAGGTCGCAAGTAGCGAGCTGACCTAAGAATTTATCGATACATGGTAACGGAAATATCAAATAGTTTAACCATATACCAAATAGAATGCCCTCTCAAATGTGATAGGAGTCTAGATTATCCAATTCAGATAATACCCTAATACCGACGACAGGCCTCATTCTAAGCAAATTGTTCTAATCCACTAACAGCATGGTGTTAACAGCACGCTTCCAAAGCATGGTGTTATAGCAATCATCCATCCCCCCCCCCCCTTCCCCGTCGTCGTACCTTGCCAAATCTATGGCAGAAAAAGAAATTGTATGCCAGCAATAATTGTGCTTGAGAAATATATTTCGATCTCTAGAGAATTCAATACAAACGTTAAGTTATGAAGATCTCTTAAGATTAATAGTTATATTTAAAAATGATTTTGGAATACCATTATTTATGCTCTGATTTCTTAGACTGGATGCTATTATTTATGTAGCGGAAAGAGCTCGCATCAATAAAAAATACCATAATCGGGAACCCGGATAGCGAGGCTCCAGCCAAAGCGGCTGGCCACTCTTAGAGCAGTGAGATCAGCGGCACAAATTCGCTATTGGTGTAAGTGAATAGTGGTCTGTCCAGAACTAATCCAAACTTTGCC